GTGCGTGCGTGCGTGCGTGCGTGCGTGCGTGCGTGCGTGCGTGCGTGCGTGCGTGCGTGCGTGCGTGCGTGCGTGCGTGCGTGCATACGCAATATAAAATATTTAAAACTGATAAGAAAAAGAAAGAAGAAAAGTAATAAGATTTTTATTTCAGTATGGTAGTGGACACTTATCCGATCATAAAAGTTCATGGAATTCAGGTAAGAACTCACTAGCACCTCCAACGTTACCATACATACCACCTCCGACGTCTCCTCCACCTGATTTTCACGGTTTAGAATACCCATCAGTATTCGAACCCGACCCTTATCTTACAAATGTATCACTGTGGCGCAATCATAACAAAAATAGTTAGAATAATATCGCGCGATACATACCAACTCAATTTAAAAGACCGAATCATTTGGTTAACAATACAACCAAAGAAAATTGTTTAATTAACGGATAGACGAGCTATGTTCCAACATAGAACACAGTGCACTTACTAACTAAAAATTCTTCTTTACTATTTTAAAATAACCGTCCATTTTGTGCTTTTATAAATATAATATATAGAAGTATGTAACATAAATATCCAACTTGTAAGTTATAAAAGTGCAGAATGTGTTATGTATACAGCGTATTTAAAGAAATATAACAAATGCATAATTGATTGTATATTAATATTTTATATCAAAGTTTTATATTACTATTACACTATAAACTACAATGTTGCGCTGTCAAAGATGAACATATAATTAAGTATATATAACTACGCCTAATTTATTTATAAGATTATAAATTATACATATAAAGTTTTTATTATGTAAGATTTCTTGATATCTAGTGCAATCATTTTGGATTATGACATCAGAAGCAAAGAAAATTGCCAAAGTTTATTTTATCTAATGTGACAACAAATACATATTTCTAAAGCACGTGTATGTAGAATCAATAAAACTCGCTTGTAAGATATATTATACAGTTCTGATTCAACACGAAATTATGCGACAGGCTGCAAACATTTTATTAGATATTGATTTATTAAAGAGTGACCGCAAAAAACTCCTGTTTTTCGCCCCTTTCGTCGATCTCATAGATCTTGTTCAATTGTGGTCTAAATGTTAGCTTATGATAATACAATAACGTATGTAAAATTTCAAGATGAACATAGGAACGGTTTCGGATTTATAGAAAGTCAAAGTTGCGAATAATTGAAGCTGTAATTCTACACAACGTGGATTTAAATTTTGTTATATTATTGCAATATGCTACAATAATATGTAAGCTTCTTCACCGACGTCAAGGCTAGTGATGAAAGATCGAGCCCGCAGCAACGAGAGCATCGAAGCGGTGGGGGCACGCACACAAGCAAGAATCGTCGTCTGTGACGGCAATTCTTGCTTGTGTGCGTGTTTCCACCGCTTCGATACTCTCGTTGCTGCGGGCTCGATCTTTCATCACTGGTCAAGGCTTTGACTATATAAATATGGACTTCTAGTCTCCTCCATAGATGCATAATATATAGACTGCGCGTTTGGATGAAAATAAAATGTCTTTATAGTTGACAAAGACAACATACTTTGTACAGTAACTCTCTCTCTGTCTATCAAGGTCTGTGATGGGGTATAATGGAAGTAGTAATAGGGTTAAAATTCATTATGACCACTGGGCCGGTTTGGCTGTTAACCTGCCATCACCCCTTAATCTCTTGCATTCCTCTTCATCTCTACTATTTTTCAACTCCCACTTTTCCACTACTATTCCATCAATCAGCGAAGACTTCTTTTTCTCCCTACTACTTTGCTAGACAAAGATGAGGCTACTGTACAACACTAGCTGTCTCTCTCAACGTTGAAGACATTCTCTTAACATGGCAAAGGTAGAGAACGCGCAGTCTATATATATTATACGTCTATGGTCCCTCCACTTTTACTATGCTAAAGGCATATGCTCGGTGTCACCGAACTGAAGTTAGCTGAGATATCGAAGTGCAATTTATTAAGGCTTCGGCCCAGTCAGTAAATACCGGGAAATTCGAACAAATTGTCGAAAAGTGCCGTCGAAAGTTGCCGTGTTTTTTATATTATTTATTGTTCTTAAATTAAGTACATAATTATATTGAATTATACTGAATATCCATTTACAATTGAAAACAATTTGCAGGTTAGAGATAACTTACTCATCTGTAAAATCAAAACTGACTTCTTCTCGTCATGTTTCTGTTTGTACATCAACGATTTGCATCCATAAACAAAGCAATACATTTTCGATGAAGGAAAAGATCAAACTCAGTAAACACATCAATAGCAAAAACTAACTACGCAGTAAATGCACGAAACAGTAACCGGTAATTTTACGCTGATTTCACCATTGACGCCATTTTCACAGGAGCTTCCTCACTCCTGCAGAAAATTACTAACTGAGGCGGAGCTTACACGTTTGCAGATTGGCGACACGTCTGAAGTTAGCTACTAGCAGTCCCCATATATTATATAGTCAAAGCGTCAAGGTACTAATCCATGAAAAAGTACTTTTTTTTAAATATTTTTTAAATATTAAAAAATTTTTGTTTTGTTTTATTTTATAGTTTTTTTTACATTTTATAAATCTGTATTTTATATGATGTATTTCTTACTGATTTTTTGTTGAACCTTTACTTATTAAAGCTTACATGAAGAATTCTCAAAGAAACAAAAAATCAGTACAAAATAAATACATCACATAAAATACAGATTTATAAAATGTAAAAAAACCTATAAAAGAAAAGAAAAAACAAAATAAAAATTTTTTAATATATAAAAAATATTTAAAAAAAGAAAAATCTTCATGGATTAGTACCTTGACGTCGGTGAAGAAGCTTATATATTATTGTAGCATATTACAGTAATATAACGAAACCTAATCCACGTTGTGTAGAATTACAACTTCAATTAATTACAACTTTGACCTTCTATAAATCCGAAACCGTTCCTATGTTCATCTTGAAATTTTACATACGTTATTGTATCATTATAAGCTAACATTTAGATCATAATTGAACGAGATCTATGAGATCGACGAAAGGAGCGAATTTTGTGATCACTCTTTGATTTTGCAGATACGATTTAATGTTAAATTAAAAGAAAATCTGATATAATTTACGAGTATATTTTGATTCTACGTGCGTTTTTATAGAAATATTCGTTTATTTTAACATACGAGAGTTCCAATAAACTTTAGCGTATTTGTTTGTGATTCTAAAAAATAGTCATAATCCAAAATAATTGCACAGAGATCAAAAAAAGATTTTTTGATATCTTTATATAATATTTAATAAGTCTTTTATTTTAACTAAATATGTTTATAGTTAAAAAAATAAGAAGAGACTTATTTTCTAGTTTTTAAAACTATGTTTATATACTACAATTTTGATACTAAAACAAGATTGTAATAAGATATTTTGTGTGCGTGCGTGCGTGAATATGTGCGTATTTTTATATACTTGTGTGTATTTTTATATATTCGATCTCGTAAGAAAAAAGTTTATCGTTATTTGTCTCAGTTTTTCCTAACTGTTAGCTAGTTTGAGTTAGTGTTGTAGTGGTTAGTAGATTAATATTCATATGTGTTATTCTTTGTCCAGCTGTTGAAAACTTGATCAACGCTCATATATAGAATAAAAAAACCCAAACTTGAACCACGTTTTAAGCGAAAGTTTTATACAAAAGGCTTTTCAAACGCTCGTGAAATTTCTAAATGTTTGACCGTTTCACAGTTGAGATAATTGCAATTATAAATGACATTTTTTACATGTATTATATACGTAAACCGATTCAAAAATGCTCATTTGAAACTCTAGCTATCAAACTATATTTGCGACATTGATAAAAAACTAGAATGCGGTAGATTACGATTAAAAGAATACTATTTTAAAAAATTGGTACCATATATATATATAAACCAACTTATTCAGGTCGATATCTTAATTATTTTTCACACAATCCTCTCATTCATAAAATAGGTACTATCTATTCCCTAGTAGATAAAGCCATTTTATTATCTCATCCGCAATTCCATAATAAAAACCTGCAATTTATAATTAACATTTTCATAAACAATAGCTACCCAATCCCACTAATCTTTATCACCATAAATAAAAGGTTGAGAATTTTATTTTTTTCCACATTAAACAAACACATCAACGTTAATAAATTACAAGAGAACGAACAAAAAGAACAATATTATTATTATATGTACTTCCGTTCATTGGAAAAAAACAATAACAGTCTTAACAATCTAAAAATTAATAACCGTATGATTAAACCAGCTTATAGAAATTTAAACCAATTGTAAAAATTTATAAAAACTCCCAAGGATAGTTTAGCAACAAATAAACATAAAAACGTAGTCTATCGCATTGAATATCACCAATGCGATGCTAGCTATGGACAAACCAAATGTCAATTATTCACCAGAATAAAAGAACATAGCAATTATGCAAAGAAAGGACAAATTAATACATCTGTATTAGCTAAGCATAGTAGTGAAATGGGACATAGTTTCAATTGGGATTCCACTAAGATTCTAGACACAGAACAAAATTATTTTAAACGTTTGACTTCTGAAATAATATATGCTAAAAAACAGAAAGCTAGTTTGAATTTGATGAAAGACACTGAATTATTGCATAACACTTACTTACCGATATTTGATAATATTTTATATTCATGTATATAGATGGAGCACTTTGGATTCAAAGCTTTTAACGATTTTAGTAATGAACTCAACTTGGTGTAATCATGACGTCTATAGTTCATTCTCATATAATTGTTAAAGTTAATTTTATTATACGTTGTTTTGCTTTCTTTTTACTTTTTTTATTGACTAATTTCATTGTTTCAACGCAAATTGACCATTTACATCATACAAATGTACTTTTATACAAATGGTATGTAATTTATGTTCACTACTGCTTGTTTATTCATCAATCTTTACATTACATTATATATAATTTGTAACACTGTTTAATAGATCAATTGATAAGGACTAAAAAAAAAAGTCGAAACGTCCTGATATACTTTGTCTTTTATTCATTTGCATAACATTCTGCACGGTTCTACATAGCCGTTTTATTCAAATTATTCATATTGGAATTACCAATACAAGCCGGAGGTCACACCTCTACAGTTCAACATATTTACTATAAAAAAAGTTTAGTTATTGACCGTCTAGTTATCGAAATAAAGTCGCGGAAAAATTATAATATTTCTTGACAAGGTATAGTTACGGCCGATTTCTTCATACCTCTCGATAGCTATCCTCTGGATAAATTTCTCTGAGAACCAATAAGGAGAACCAATTTTGGGAGATATCTTCTAGATAAAGTTATCGAAAACTTATTTAGAAATGAAAAAATTGGCTGTTAGGCAAATAACAGCGGCAACAAGTCGCTTTTCGCACAACGTACTTGTGCTCCGCCGCTATTCAGTACCGTAAACATAGATACAGCACGTTCAGGCCCGAATTTAGATTTCAGTGGATGAAATAGGCACCCACTGAAGACTGTACGAGCGGTACAGCACTGTGGAATGGGGGGCTTTCTGGTAGGAGAGATGCACAGAACGGACGTAATTTCGTCCATGAGTGTCCTATTCTCTCGTTGAACCGAGTAGATCTTGACACACCGTTTTTTTGCTATTTTCTTGCCTTTGTTATACTTAAAATTGTTTATAAAAGTGTTTTTTTAGTATCTGTACTAAAATTGAAAAGTCATTTTAAAAGCTCGTCTACAATAGATGCATAGACTTATATAATAGACAGAACATTCGTGTAAAAGGAGCTGAAACTTCGTTAAAAGAGACAGAAATAGTCGTGGAGTAGTTCTCTTTTTTTCTAGCAGTGAGTTGATTGGTGGCCGCGGCAGGCCGAGAGAGTGGCCGAGAGTAACAAAGATAGACGTCAGTTGAGAGAGAGTGATAATGAGAGGTGATAGCATGCATGTATAAACTTGTTGAGAGACTCGGCAGGTGTTAACAATTAACACTAACAATTCGTAGACCTTTTTATAATGTAATTTACTTTATACTTCTATAGAATTTAATTTAACATATTTTTTAGCTTAAATTTTCTCTAAATTAAGCTATCTTTAATTAACAACAGTTGTTTATGCTTTAGTGTAACCAACTGTTGTTTCTCTTTAAAACCATAAATAAAATAATACAAAAATTATATCCATCAAGACTCGAACCTTTATAACTTCTCGAGCACACAAGTCAAAAGTAATGGTCTTTTACGCCTAAGCATAGACTTATATGTCTATGCAGGTGATTGGTCCCCCACCGCTC